GGGTGATTTAGTCCTAAATCTTAATTTCTATGGAATCTCTAAAGAAGAAAAATACTAGGCACAGAGCACACATCCATTGAAGAGCTTTTGCACTCCCTGTGGCACCAGCAGCATCATTAAGTCCCTAGAGTCACACCCCAGGGGACTTTATAGACAGCTTTATAGAAGTTAGGCAGAGAGTGGTGAAGGCTGGCAGAGCAGCTGTGTGCAGTGTGGATCTTCAATGTTTCAGCTCGATAGGGGACACTTCATTTGCCCCTCTTCTCATTCACCAGACTTGCCCTGGGGGAAGTAAGTTGAAACTTAAGCAATTCCCTCATGGAGGCTTATAGAATCTCATCTGTAACTTCAAAAGGCTAAAATCTTTGGAATCTGAAAGTTTGAAGGTGGAGATGCTATCTAATTAACCTGAAGAAATGTTGCCCTTCCCTCACCTCCTACACCCATATTCTTCACTTGTGTCCTTTGCTACCCAAAATGTTACTCACCTAGCCTGTTTTAGTCAGTGGTTACTCTAAGCTTTGGCCCCAAAACACATCTTTGGAAGTTTTTGTTGGTACAAATATTTCAGTTCAATTAATTAATGTTTCAGTATTCTTACTAAGAGTGATTAAAAGACTGAGACATTAAAAAGAAAAAAAGCTTTAGTATGGAAAGGGAGAAAGGGACCGTCAGACCCTTTGTTGTTACTTGCTAGAGTAGAAGTATTTCGTAACAGTTCAAGATCATGACTTCTCAGAAGCAGATTACCAGCTCAATCTTCCAAACTGTCCCTGGGTGAGTTTGAACCAAAAATCTTTTGCTTAGTAGTTGAGTGTTTGTTTGTACCACCCACTGACACTAAGCCTGCAGTCCCTAAATGCCCCCTATACTACTGCTTTCTTGGTTTCTGTTTCTTCACAGCAGATCTTAGAGTAGGAACCTTAAGTGAAACTTTAAAGATGACACTATATTTTTTCTGTGTTAGAGATATGAAAAGAAATATGAAGTTAACAAAAATCACGGTATCTGGCAAATCTGAGAAAAAATATTTGTTGAACATTAGGAGAGTTGTTTTACTTATCGTAATTGATTTTGTTATTTAAAAAAATAGTTCATAATACCTGCTTCCTAGGGTAGTTTATTTAGGGTTTTATGACTGATAATCTTGTTAACTGAATAAAAAGATAAGAAAAATGGGAAATTTTCAGAGCTTAAAATTTATTGAGGGATACAGTTTTGTATTGTATTAACCCAAAAGCTAATGTTTGAACCTATCAACCACTTTTCAGGAGAAGGATATGGTAATAATTCAGTAAATGTTTGCAGTCTTGCAAACCATATAAGGCAGTTCTACTCTGTCTTAAAAACTTGCAATAAGTCAGAATTTATTAAAGGGAAGTGGGTGTATAATTTATTGAGGAAATAAATTTAAATAATCATACTGGTAATTTTAAATGATACAAATCACTATAAAGAAAAATATGTATGGAAGTATATTGCAGGGATAATATATAACCAGAAGTATAATAGTAATAGATGACCAGTATAATGAAAAGATAAATTCCTAGAAGTGTTGATTCTGCTATATACTATAATGTTGTTGTTATTGTTAGGTGCCATCACGTACAACTTATAGCGACCCTGTGAGCAGAAGATCTGAACCCTGTTCTATCAAGTGCCATCCTCACACTTTCTGACATCCAAGAGCCCATTGTGCCAGTTACCATGTCAATCCACTTGATCGAGGGTCTTCCTCTCCTTCACTGACCCTCTACCCTTCCGAGCATCATATCCCTCTCCAAGGAATCCTCCTAGCAATAATGATGTTTAAACTTAAATTCTTACTGAATTTCTATTTCCAAAGCTAAGCCAGACCACTATATTTCAGCACAAATGTTTCAATATTTGATTTATATTATAAACAAAGATTTTACCTGGTTTGTGGAGAATGGTATATCACTAGTCAGGAAATTATCAGATAGACCTTAAAGTCAGTCTGATTAATGCCTGCAATTCAATAGTGGGAATGGACTGTAATTGGAAGTGCAATAGAGAAGAAAGAAACAGAAAGAAATATACACTATAAAGCTGTTCTTAGACAAATCTAGAAAGACATTAAGAGATACCAAACGATGTCAGGTTTTTTGTGATTTGAGTACCTGGATTGATGTTGCTGGACTTAAGAAGATGGGTACTGGGAAGGAAGGAGCCAAGAGTGCAAATAGCAAAGAGTTGAGTGTTTCTGTTATGTTTATGATGCTCATAAACTATTAAAATTAATTGTTAAGTAGAGAGTTATATGCTTGGCTTTATAGTTAGAATAAAAATATAAATGACAGAGATAACTTTAGGAGTCATTACTATACAGAGGAGAGACAAGGAAGACATTACAAGAAAGAAAGAATTTTGAGAATATTAATTATAAGAAGGAGTACAGAAGTAATTGCCAGCTAGAAGGGATAGACACATAGGGACAAAAAAGATAGCTACATAGAGACAATTTCATGATTAAGGTGCTTATTAGAGAAGTCAACAGACTGTAATTCAGATTGGCAGCAAGATACAATCGCCTAGTCAGAACAGCTTCCAAAATATGCCTTCAGCTTCGTGGCTTCAGATCAGTGTTACAAAGCTCTTAGTCCTATTTCTCCCCCAAGTCTTCCAACAAACTGGGGCAAAGACTTCTAGTTCTACTTTCGTGAGGTAACAGTTCCAAGGTCAGCTCTGTCTCATGTCGAATCTCTGGTTCTCGGCTGCAGCTGCTGTATCTGCTGCTCCTGTAGGCTCTGGTATGAGTAGTCAGGAATCTTTAGATCCAGTGGACACCAACTTTGTGCTCTCTGCTAGTGGTGAGATTCTCAATTTCTGTTGCTGAATCCACTCAGTTTAATGGTAAGCCTATCCAACCCCTTTGTGAATAGGCAAATGTATGTATATATGTATGTATGTCCCCGCCCATCCATGTAGCAAAATCAAACTCAATGAAGAAGAAAGCCACTTTGAACAATAATCCCTTGACCCCACAGACTTCCTCACTCTTGGCTTTTCTAGTCAATAACCTTCATATTTGAAGAATTAACTTTCTCATTACAATCATCCTACTAATGACTATATTTGTAAAAGCATGTAGACCAGCTACTTTATGCCTCATGCCTTAATAACCCCATTGAGATAGCCAATTTCTAATCTATCCACCCACATTAAACCACTACTCTGAGAAAATAAGCATGTCCCTTTTGCTTAAGAACCTTCTGTTCAGTTTGGCAACTCTGAGCAGCTGCATTCATAAGTAAAATCCAGTCTAGAGCAGCCATCAGGTTATAGGAATCAACATCAGCTCATAACATCATTTTTTCCTCTGATTGGGTTCTGGTCAACTCATCTCCAGCAATTTGTGACTATTTCCAAAGGGACATCAACCACACACTCAGGAGTCCACACTCCCTGAATTCCTAACCAGCTTGCCCCTTCACTCAGTCTTAGCCCCCACAGGGAGGCAAGGCAATAGAGATTTTGTTGTTTTTCCTGTGACAGTGACTCTTAAAATTAATGCTAGTGAGGGGGAGAAGATGGGGAAGAGTGGAGTATTTTTAAGGGTTGATATGTGTGAGTTAAATCACTGATTATCAACCTTATTTTTAAATTTCACTCAGGAAGTTGTTTTTTTAATTTTTTTAAAAATACTGATTTTTGAGTCCTAATCCAGAGAATCTTATTTAGCTGATAAAATTTATCCTCAATGAAGAGGTTTTTAAAAAGCCTCTCTATTAATGTAACACACAGCAGTATTTGAGAATCTTTAATCAATCAAACCAAAACAACTAAAAACAAACCAAGAACATTTTTTTTAAAAAAAGAAAAATACAGAAGGAAACCACAAGTGGATGGGTACTGAGTCTTGGCCCTTGCTGATTTAATAAGGAGTTAAACCAACAGAGAGAGGAGTAGAATTGATGCCCGAGTGTGGGCAAGAGAGGAACATAGTTGAGAATATAGAGATAATTTCTGCTTGCACAAGAGTAGTAGAATAAGGGAGGACTCCATGAAGGGGACATTGTACCTGTACTAGAAATCTGAGTGGTTCAAAGCTAGTAGATCTTGTTGTTGTTGAGTACCATAGAGTTAGAACCAACCCATAGTTGACCTTCTGGTGGGTTTTCAGAGGCAGTTAATTGCCCGGGAGGAGATTGTCCATCCTCTGCCTCCAGCTGTGTGCCTTTGGGATTGCAGTGCAGCTTCTTGTCATTAGGCCACCAGAGCTAGCTACAGTTGGTAGGTTGCCGTTGTTAAGTGCCATAGAGTCGAGCACAACTCATAGCACCCTATTAACAAAAGATCTAAACCCTGTTCTATAACTATAATCATTTCTCTAAGTTCATAGAGTTTCCAGAGGCATGTGGTTTAGGAAGTGGATGCCACTCCTGCTTCCACGCCTCTCTTAATTTGGGAGCTCCACCAAAGACTGTCTACCATGTGTAACCATTATGGCATTTGACACACCAGTGATACAGTGTTCACTATCACAGTAACTCCCAGTACAGTGAGTTGATAGACTAGGGCTGTACCATTTAGAAGAATAATAGTTCCAAACAAGCAGCTCTTGGGCCCAAGTGACTTTTAAATACATAAACCACCCATCAGGCCCTGATTGGCTCTAAATAAGAGGCTTCTAGTGAGTAGATAGAATGGGGGAGAATATATTTCCCCCATTAGGGAAAGATTTATACATATATAAAGGACACAGAAGAAGAGATGCAAGGGAAAAAAAGAAAAAATGTAAAACATTTTGTTTTGGCAAGGAGATGGAGCCCATCATAGACCAGATAATTTAGACTACGGAAAGTCCGAGATGTACCTAATGACTTCTGATTTGCTTCTTTCTGGCTCTTTCATGATCCCTGGAATTTGGATTGCATTTTATTGCTTCTCTCTTCATGAGGACAGTGACATCTCCCGGTCTTCACATCCTCCACTGTCTGATATCTCTCTGCCTTCGTTATATTTCCTTAGAAGCCACTATGGGAAGCTTCAGGACCAACATATCAAGCAGCATGAGTTTCACATTGACAGGCTTCCCAGAGATGGGGGGTCTAGAGCACTGGCTGGCTGCCTTACTCCTGCTACTTTATGCAGTCTCCATCGTGGGGAACATCTTGATTCTCTTCATCATAAGGGAGGAGCAGAGCTTGCATCAGCCAATGTACTACTTCCTGTCCCTGTTGTCTGTCAATGACCTGGGGGTGTCCTTTTCTACACTGCCTACTGTACTGGCTGTCCTGTGCTTTCATAGTCCAGAGACTCCATTTGATGCCTGCTTCTCCCAAATGTTCTTCATCCACTTTTTCTCTTGGACAGAGTCTGGGATCCTCCTGGCTATGAGCTATGACAGATATATTGCTATCTGTAACCCTTTGCGTTATTCCACAGTACTCACAGATACCTGTGTGGCTCACATGGGTATAGCCATCATCATTCGCAGCTTCTGCATGGTTTTTCCACTGCCTTTTCTTCTGAAAAGGTTGCCTTTCTGTAAGGCCAATATACTGACCCATGCCTATTGTCTTCATCCAGATTTGATTCGCCTGCCCTGTGGAGATACCACTATCAATAGCATGTATGGCCTGTTTATTGTCGTCTCTGCCTTTGGCTTAGATTCAGTATTCATCCTTCTTTCTTATGTGCTCATATTGCGATCCGTGCTAGCCATCGCCTCCAGGGAGGAGAGGCTTAAGACATTCAACACATGCGTGTCACACATCTGTGCTGTGCTTATCTTCTATGTGCCCATGGTTAGTGTGTCCATGGTCCACAGATTTGAGAAACATGCTCCTGAGTATGTGCACAAGTTCATGTCCCTGGTATATCTCTTTGTTCCTCCGATGCTCAACCCAATTATCTATTCCATAAAAACTAAGGAGATCCGCAGAAGGCTGAGTAAGATGTTATTGGGAGTCAAGCTCTGAACAGAAAACATTTCTAGGATTTGCTGTCATTGGTGATGTTTGGATGAGCTAGGTTAATTCTTTGAAGAATCTCAATCTCTTTCCATACTTAGATCTCTGACGAGTGCTTAATATTCGTTATATGACATAGCTTGGGTGTAACCCATAATTCAAACTATCAGGCTGCCATCCATTGTAATTAACCATGTTTCAGGTTAATAGAAACGTCTCTGAGAAGTTTGTAT